GGGGCAAGCCCGAGCACGAGAGGAGTTCTCGGGCGCAGCACGCCCCTCCGCGCGCCGAGAGGGCGCACGGGGCGCCGTCTCGATGATCTTTCTCTCTTTGTCCAGGTTCTGCGCTGCTCTCGGGAGGAGTAGGAGGAGGAGGAGGAGGAGGAGAGAGGAGGAGGAGGAGGAGCAGGAGTGTAGGGAGTGGGGAGGAGGAGGAGGAGAGGAGGAGGGAGGAGGAGGAGGAGGAGGGGAGGAGGAGGAGGAGGAGAAGAAGAGGAGGGGTGCGCTGCTCTCGGGCGAAGCGGATCCTTGGCCGATCTGGAAGTCTGGAAACGGAGGGGAGGGGGGAAGGGGAGGAGGGGGGGTAGAAGGGACGGGGGGGGGCGGGGAGAGGGGGAGGATACGTCGGATGAAGCGTGTCGCTGTTCTCGCAAGCAGTGGGGCGGGCTGGGTGGCGCGAGTACGTTCCCACTCCGCCACCAGCCGCCCCAGACCCGAAAAGGGCTCAAGGGTAAGGAGGGAAGAAGCCAAGCAGGCGCAAGGAGGTGAAGGGTAAAGAGTGGGAGGGTTAAAGGGGGGAGGGGGGAGGGCCAGGGGGGAGGGGGTAGGGGGGAGGTGAACCCTTTTGGAAGTTTGCGCTGAACCAGACGGGATAGCTGAGACACCCACGAGACTGCACCACCCCGAGACGAGGCGAACTTTGCTTGGCACAGTGCAGCCCCCATATAAGCACGCTGCCCGACTGAGACACTTGCTTGGCATTGCTTGCCGTTGCTTGCCGTTATTTGGCATTGCTCGGTATTGCTTGGCGTTGCTTGCCATTGCTTTGCATTGCTTGGCGTTGCTCGGCAAGTCTGACTGGGGAGCAAGACCAAGCAATCCGAGGAATAGGTGTCTTCAAAAACAGTCAGGGAACAATATTAAGCAATCCTGGGAAGGCCTCTTAAACGCAGGAGGACAACAGGACCAAGGAATACCGAGGAAGGCTCTGCACCAACAAGAGATAAGCATGACCAACCAACCTGGGGAAGGCCTCTCCAAAACAGTAAGGAAACTAGGCCAAGCAATCCAAAAAAGAGTTCTTCAAACACAGTCAGGAAGCCACACCAAGCAGCCCGGGGGAAGGCCTTTGTTACAAGCACGGTATGGCAAATAGGCCAGGCAACCCGGGGAGCTCCTTTTCAACAGCCGTAAGGGAACACGACGGGCGAGCAACCCTGGGGAAGGCTGGCTGGCCAGGCCAGGGCCATGCCTTGCACCCACTACTTAGTAGGAAACCCGCACGCGAAGCCACATTCGGGGAACAGTTTGGCTTTCGCTACAGGCAGCCTAGACATACTTTTCGACGCGCCACATTGTGCAAGAGTCGAACGAATGGAGGGCGGCTCCTTTTCACAATGAGGTTCTCGCCGTAGACTGCCTTGAAATGGCACGCGACGGAAAGCACTGTGCAACAGTTGCACGGATGGAGGGCGCTTCCTTTATACAATGGGGTTTTCGTTTAAGACGTTTGGATATGCTTCAAAATTCGCTTTTGCCTAACCTTGGTTCTTATTGGTGGGCGCGGGGTCCTGCGTCAGAGGCGTTGCTCGGGGTTGCCCGGGGTTGTCTAACATTGTTCGGGGTGTATCTGCCTGGGGTTGCCCAGGGTTGCCAAGCAATGCCAGACAATGCCATGCCAAGGGATGTAAAGCATTGCCACCCAGCGCAAAATAAAACAACGCCAAGCAATGCCAATCAACAGCCTACAACGACAGGTAATGCCAAGCAATGCAAAACAAAGCCAAGCAATGCCGAGCAATGCCAAGCAATGCAAATGACGGGCTGACAATGCCAAGTAATGCAACGCGATGCCCGGCAGTGCCACGCAATGCTAAGCAAAGCAGCGTCAAACAACGCCAAGCAGTGCCACACACACTGCCAAGCAATACCAGGCAGCGCCAAGCACTGCACAGCAGTACCGAGCAATGCTTTGCACTAAATCCCGCTGCATTGCTGAGAACTGCTTTGCATCGCCTCGAAGGAAGAAGAGCCCTACTCTGGGCCGCGCCGGGGTCGCGTGGCCAGAAGCTTCAGATCCTGACGCAGCTGCGCCGAGAGAGGGCGGCTGCTTCTCGGAGCGGAGCGCTCCTTGGACACGTCCTTGTGGCTCCCTGCTCCCCCAGGAGGAGGAGGAGGACGAGGAGGATGAGGACGAGGAGGAGGAGGAGGAGGATGAGGGGGAGGAGTGTAGGGAGGAGGAGGAGGAGGAGGAGGGGAGGATGAGGAGGAGGAGGAGATGAGGAGGAGGAGGGAGAGGAGAAGGGATGAGGGGGGGAGGAGGAGGGGAGAGGAGGAGGAGGAGGGAGAGAGGGAGGAGGAGGGGAGGGAGGGAGGGAAGGAGGGGAGGGCGGAGGGAGGAGGAGGCGGAGGCGGAGGAGGAGGAGGAGGCGGAGAATGAGGAGGAGGAGGAGGAGTGGGATGATGATGATGCTGATGATGATGATTCTGATGATGATGCGATGATGATGATGAT